GATGGCTGACAGTCGGCCATTTTGAATCGAATCGCTAAACCACTGCATGTGCATATGTCCCACATAAGGTACTAGGCACATGCAAAGAATGAACGGAATCGGTCCACAGGATTCTGAAATATGACGTTGGATAGACTGACGCACGGACAGACGGACACACAGACAGTCGGACGGACAGACTCAGGAACTCACGGACGGTCGGGGGCATGTATCCTAACATGTATGATCTATGTACTAAATTTGAATGAAAACTGACAAAGCATGTCCAAAATACGACATTTTCAAAAAAAAAGATGGCTGCCAGTCGGCCATTTTGAATCGAATCGCTAAACCACTGCATGTGCATATGTCCCACATAAGGTACTAGGCACATGCAAAGAATGAACGGAATCGGTCCACAGGATTCTGAAATATGACGTTGGATAGACTGACGCACGGACAGACGGACACACAGACAGTCGGACGGACAGACTCAGGAACTCACGGACGGTCGGGGGCATGTATCCTAACATGTATGATCTATGTACTAAATTTGAATGAAAACTGACAAAGCATGTCCAAAATACGACATTTTCAAAAAAAAAGATGGCTGCCAGTCGGCCATTTTGAATCGAATCGCTAAACCACTGCATGTGCATATGTCCCACATAAAGTACTAGGCACATGCAAAGAATGAACAGAATCGGTCCAAGGGATTCTGAGATATGACTCTGTACGGACGCACGGACACACGGACGGACTTAGACCGAATTATAAGTCCCCGTTTTCGGACTTCGTCCAAACGGGGACTAAAAAACTGCTAACAGTCGTGTAGATGTCTAGATACTATTACTGGTTCTCTGGTTGCCACCATGCATGCGTCATTACGCACCATACTGCTCATGTCAATTTTGTATTGTAACAAACATGCAGGTTTGACAGCTAATTTACGAATAGTTTGCAAAATATGAAAATATTTTCAGTCATACACGCTCAAAGAACTCAAAACTAGTCAACTGACACATGAACATGTGTTCAGTAACAATACTTGTCAACTCTAACACAACATCATGTGGAATACTATTGGGACCAACATTATTATTATCGTGATAATATCTATTAGCTCACCTTCTCGCCATTTCTTCCATGACCATACTATTGATGTTTATACACATGCTCATAGTAATTAACTTGGTAGACTCTTCTTGATGCTGAAACAGAAAAAAAACAGAATGCATTGTAAATGTCCCTCAGTAATTCAAGATACAAGCAGGCACTAATAGCTTTAAAATGATTAAACTCATCAAAAAAAAATACTGTTTCGCTGGTATTTTAAAGTTGTGTTGTTAGCAAACTTTGTTCAAAAAAATAAAATCTGAAAGAAAGTTACAAATCACAAATCACAAATTCACAAAATAGTCCTGTCTATAGACTATAGACTTTCCTTCAGAAGATTGGGACAAAAATAGCCAAATTATTTGAGTAAAAACTGAAAATCTAATCAAATTTTGTCTGTTGGCTCAAAAAGTATATTGCCAGAAATATTGAAGAATACAAGAAAAAAAGTGCAGACAAATTTGGGTGAGAAAGACTAATGATGAAAAGGTTAAACTTCTAGCTCTGTTTATCTCAGTATTTTAGTTTTGGACATAGAGAGCTGTTGATGGTATATTCAGTCATACAAAAACATTATAAAGTCCTTTGGCTATATCAAAATGTACTCCCACAAACGGTGTATTGATCTAAATCCCATTTTTTTGTCCTTTATTGATTTACCGTAGTATGACTGACTCTGTTAGCTAAGAAGACAGAGAGATCCAATACAATTTCGATTGACTAATTTAGTAATTCATGATTTTGATGTGAAAATACAATTTTTAGCTGAATTGTTGAAAGTTAAATAAATAACCTACCAATAACGCAGCAAAGTGGCGGATGAGTTGTTGTTGTGTCAGGTCCTTTCGCTGCATACCCCAACGTCTTGTTTTATCAGTGTTCAGATCAAGTTGTCTTCTTTCCAACAACTGACGACGTTTTTCAGCTTGGGCCTAAATGGTACATTAAAGATTAAAACAATAATAGTAACAATTGTTTGTCATTTTTTTTTCTATACTTTCATTGTTAAAAAGTAGTTTACCTTTCGTTAACATTTAAAATTAAGGATCAACAAAAAACTAAAATTATTTGATCACTCTTATTGCACTTGCTACAATGTGATAAATGCAAACTTACCGCAACTTGGATACGAATCATGGTAGATGCACGTTTAAAGTTGAGTACAAAACAATCTTTGATCTCGGTGTACCTATCATCAATCTCATGGTCCTCCTCATCTCTTACTTCCTGAATAACAAACAACAACAAATTTGAATAAGAAAGCTCTTTTTTTTTTTTTTAACGAAGGGTAAAATCACGTACATTTAACACAGTGGGGCATGCACAAGTATGAGGCCTCATGGCTATGTAAAAGATTCCTAGTTTACATTATGGAAAAATAATGCACACAGACTCCATACATTTATGTGTAGCATGGAATCCAGCACCTGCATGGTGCATATGGTCTTTCAAAAGGGCACCACTCAACACGATATATATCAGGCATATCAAGGGAGTTTGAGGCAATACAAATTTTACAATACTGTTTACTGTACATATATGCAATGCATTATGGACAATAACTTCTAATTGTTTATGATGGAAAACTATTATAATATTGGAAACTAATTTACGTAAATGTTTTAGCAATGTTAAGATTCATATCAACAAAAATATAATTTTTATCCCATGTCACAAAGCAAAATACGCTTGTCATAGAATCCAGACTAAAAATGCCAATTTTAACCATTTTTCGTGACAATTTCGATCGTTTTTCTTATTTTTCATTTTCAATATCCTGATGGCATGAACACATAATACCGGTAATGGAAGTACAATGAAAATGTACTCAATTCAGCGCAAACCTCCTTGAGGCAACCATGATAAACCCATCGAAAGCAACACCACCCAAGATGAAGGCAGGATCTTAATTTGACAGTTTTGGAGGAGAAATCAAATTTATCTAAAAAGGAACAAATACATTCACTCAAAAAAAAGTTTTTAAATTAAAATCTGAGATTCAAAGATAGAAAATTTGAAAGCACTTTTATCGACAGTCTGAAGAATAAGTTGAAAATGTTTAACTTGACAGAATGACTAACAGGAACTATAATGTAATTAATTAAGTTTCATTTTTTAGGTCACCAGAATGGGAACTGGAAAGTGGATCGTAATGATTCATTCATACAATCAGAGAAGGATTATGTAATACTTACATCTAGATCACTCATAGCATCCATAAAGTCACTCTGTACTGCAGCCCACTTCCTATTGACATCAGCATAAGCTTTAGCATACACACCAAGTATGAAATCATCCTCATACTGAAAGTGAACATCAACAGAATTCATAAAAACAAGATTCCTATTCTTGGGGAGTGGAGCTAGGTCACAGAATGTTTTATGTTGCCAAGACATGCAACATTGTACTATGTATTTCTATGGGCTGGGTTCGAGCGAGCTGCTGTAAAGAAGAGCCAGTAAAACAGCTATAAAGTTGAGGAATAGCACAAATTTGACTATGAGACAACAAGCAAATTTATACATGTTCCACATGCAAGGGTCACAACTAGCCCAAAGTACAGTTTTGTGAGAGTTTTCTGTTTTCACCGGTTGTGATTGCAAGGCTGTGAAAATGCCGAGAAAATACAGCTCTTTCACACTCTTTTTTTAAGATCAATTTTGTGATTTTATGACAAATTTTCAAGGCCTTGAAGGGGTTCTGTTAATATTACATAATTATGTTCCCAGACTTCATGTGATGTACCGTGATGTATCAATGATGCATTTTTACTTGCTTCGCTTGTGAAAATACGACCACAGAACACACTGCATCACAAATGACTGCATCACTGCATCACATATGAGATTCTGTCACTATTACCTGGTCAGTCTTACTCAATTCATTCATCATTTCAACTCTTCTTGCTCTTTCATCTTCAGCCATTGCCGTATTCATTAGCTTCTTTCTAAGACGTCCCAATTGAACCATCACATCATTCTTCCGCTCTTCCACCTTTTCAACTTCTTCCACAATGAAAACATTGTGATCCTCCTGTTAAAGTAAGAAATTAACATTAACAATATTAACCCTTTGAGAGTGATTATTTTGGCGCTACTATTTGCATGTATTTTTCTAAAAAAATTTTATAAATTTGACTAATCATGGCTTTGGTGTTTATAGGGTTAAGACACTGGAGGAGCAGCTTAGTGCACCAACTTTGAACACATCATTGTTTGCCAGAGAAGCATATCATCATGAAAAAACAAAATGGCCACCAGTTGGCCATCTTAAATCAATACAAAATGTATGGTAATAATGTAGGGTACATTATAAATTCAACATTTTAAATTAATTGATTGTGCATAACTAACCATTACAGTAGCTTCTTTTATACCTTAAGTATTTCACTTTTTTTTTTGTCTAATTGAAATTGTGAAACATCAATCATTTTGTATGAAAATAGCTGAACTTTATCAATCACCTTCTACTTCTAGAGCAGATCAAAGAAACTTGTGAACAATTGAAATCCCATCCCCATAGTGAAAAATTATTCCCAAACTAGTAAAACTACAAATTTGCTACTCAAATGTACAAATATAATTCTTCCTGAAATACATAGAGTGCAATAAAACTAGAAATTGTTTTGTTTACCTGACTTTTTATAATGGTGTTTTTGAATTCATTATTCAGCTCAGACAGGACTTTCCATGCCATTTGCCTTATCTTGGCATCTTCCCGAACTCTTCTCAGCTGCTCCTTTTCAACCATTCTATTAAAGGAACATAGATTTAGAGCCAGAAAATAATCTTAAGCTTCAAACAAGTTATCTACAAACTTGTCAAAGGCAAGGTCATAGTTTGCCTGATTGACAAGTGCGTAACTTGATTTTGTCTTGGTAATGTAAACCGCAGCCAATTAACATACTATCATCGAGATGCTGAACTGTTTGAGTTACGGACATCAAGTTACGAAAACATCGAGTTACAAAAATGATCACGCACATATTTTAGAAACCACTTTTGCGAAACTATGCCCAAATTGTAACTTGATGTTCAAAATCTATGTTGCCTGTAACTCGAAGTTCAATCAACTGTCAATGAAAGTTCAAGTTACTACGCAAGTCTCAGAAATATTGGGGCAGCCAATTTGCAAACTCGCTAGCAAATTGGCTTAACTGCTTGGGTTTTGACGGAACAGTTGGCTTTTGAATCTTGCTGATGCAGACTCATGGTCGCGTCAACTCTGGGCGAGTCTATATTGCACATGTCTGGATTCCTCTGAATCCGAGGCGTGATAATGTGAAAGTAGTCTCCCTGGTCAGCCTGAGAATGGCCACAGTCAGCTGGAGTACAAGAGATAATATGATAAATGCAATTAATCCACATATATTTACTATATGGGGGTAGCCATCTTGAACACTGATTGAAACTAAATAAAGAGACAAGTTGAGAAACAGTTTCCTATAAATCAGGGAGAAAATAAATTTTCACATCCAAACGATTCGTTGGGGTAACATTAAACCAACCGCTAATAAAATTTGATTCATCGTTTTTGCATGGACAATTCCTTTGTATACGAACACACTTTCCCTGGTATATTTGAAAGCGAAATCGCTATCCAACTAAAGTATGATGACCATCCCCCTACTGTTATATAGATTCACCCAGAGTGGGCGTGACCACAGGACGGCACCAGCGAGATTCAAAAGCAAACCATTCAGTCAAAACCAAAGCAGTTAGCCAATTCGCTAGCGAGTTTGCAAATTGGCTGCCCCAATACTTCTGAGACTTGCTGTAAATGTGGAGGACGTTTAACATGTTAATGTGGACGTTTAACCAAAATGTATATTGCTCGTAACTCAAAGTTCTGTTAAATGGAAATTGAACAGAGAGTTACAATTTGGGCGTGGTTTCTAAATTATTGGCATGTTCAACTCGGTGTTTGCAACTCAAACAATTCCGCATCTCACTATCATCAGTATTTTGTTACACATTTTATGTTTAGTAATTTGATTGCCAATCTGAAATCAATGTTTCTTATAATCGAATAAATGACTTGTAAAACGTAAATTTGGAAGTTTTTACTTACTCAGCAACAGCAGACAAAGTCAGTCCCCTAGTGGTTCTTTCTAATGGCTTTTCCATATCAATTTCCCAGTGTTTTCCATTGTAGAAATGATCAAGACCACCATCCTTGGGTGCATTAAGACGCGTGCCAATCTGATAAAATAAAAAAACATTATTCTTCACTGTTTTTTTTTCATTTTCATTCTATTGTTTACTTTGACAGAAGCACTATAGCGGAAGACAGAAATAGAATCCTGTTACTCAACACAGCGTAAAGCGTTTTCTTTTGCTAATTCGGTCAGGAAAAAATGTATAATAATATCATGAGAATACCACAAAGTATGCTCTCACATGGATCTCGCCAGCTCAATGTGAGTGCTGGTCACTCATGAATATTAATGAGCTATATGAATATTAATTAGTCAATGAATATTAATGAGCTTGGTCACAGTGCAAATAATTTTTTTTTATTGGAGTCAAAATATTATGTTTCACAATTTAGAAGAGTTTGAATTAAAAAATGAAACATTCTCGAACTGCAAATGCTGCAGACTAAAAACAGAAACAAATAAATTGTTTGTGGCAATATTAATGTCTCTTGTAAAAGGTTAAATGAAGCGCATTTGAAATGTTTTAGCCAGGATATGTTCATGAATTTCATGATCTTATTAACTTATTTTCTACACCAGTTATACCAATAATTCCTCTCACTCAGTCATGATGCCATGCAACAAATTTTACTTTTTGTTTTTGGATATGAAATAAAAGTACAATTTTATTTGGAACGATTATTTTTTATCACTCGATCGATTCAACAAAAAACACAGACCTGCCATGATGTTTGTGACGCATTAGTTGACCGGCATCTGTTAGATTGTAACTTTAGTGACCTCAGTAACTTTAGTGACATTATTGCTGATAAATAAGATGGTGCTCTATTCATAATTGATGGTTATTTTCATGGATGATGTTTCTATGGTGACCCACCTTGGTATTATGTGTTTTCAACAGATCCATATGTGAGAGGGGTTTTGAGAGATATCGCAGGATTATAACTATAAACAACTTTCGTAACGAATTTGTGGACAAGACACAGCTAAGTACAATGAAAAACCACTCAACATGTAGTGAGCAATTAAAACAAT